GCATCCATTTTACTGATTTTAAAGATACTACAATTTTTATACATCAGTGATTTTCTTCAACGTTTTGCAGCCAGTTGGCTTTGCAGCACAGTGACTGATAACCACACTGCACAGAATCACAGCGAGACTGGGATGATGTGTTGTAGAAGGCACCATCATGGTTATTACAGTACCAGAAATCAAATCCAGGAAACAGTTTTCATTGTCCACAGCTTAAAGAAAGAAAAGAGGAGGAGTGTGTTGAGCAGCCAGCCATCCCTGTACTTAAGAGGACAAGTTGGAAACTCTTATGCTACAGAGCCGCTAAATCTGGCCTAGTATTTGAGACCACAGCATTTGAAGTTCTCGTTTTTGTTATTTTATTTATAACTAAATGTTTTCCTTCTGGAATATTTGCAGTCTTGTTAAGGTTGCTAAATGCATATGCTGGCCATAGCAAGCAGATAAAATGCCCTCATCATTTTACAAACTATTCTCTACTGAAAAAGAAGTTGAAAGATATTTTTCCCTGTTATCTCTTGGTGCAGATGTCAATGTTAATGACTTCAAAATACCCGATAGTGCATTCTGATGAGTATATAACAAGTTATTGTTGGTCTGTGTTGGGGGAAAGCCAAGAAAAAAAAAGCAAGATTCTCCAGTTGCACAAATTGCATTATTTGTGTTTCTAGCATCGATAGCAGAAACAGTTAACACTTAAAATGTGCAGCAGAGGATTTTTTAAAAACTCGACCTGAATTTAATTGGCATGTCCTTTAAAGTTTATTTTGTTATAGACAGTTTAAGATATGGTCATTTCTCAGTCCTTAATTCTTCAAGTCTAGATTTATGAATTAATAATATGAATCCTGTTGTAAAATCAGGGAATAATGTCCATTTAAATTTAACTAATGACCAAAAGATGCTTTTCACATCAAAGAAAGGATCAGAAAGGCTGTGTCACATTTCAAAAGCCAAAACCTTAACAAGAATACAAATGCGATGATAGGTACCACTACCAAAACTTTGCCCACAGTGGAACTGCAACCATGCTGTCCTGTGAAGCGGCCCTCCATCTGCCCGGTTCCTCTCCAGAACCAAGTTTCTGTGCCGTGCCACTTTGTGGAAGTCGTCTTCTTCCATCACGGCCATCCATCATCTCACTACTCACAGTTCCACATGGGACACCAGGAGGGCCTCAAGCTTTGCATCTGATATCCCTACATTCGTCACCTCCACCCCTGGTTTCCCGCTCTCTGGCAGCTCTCATTTTCTTCTCTTCCACATTTAAGCGTACTTCTCCTCGAAACATAATTGGTTTTGTAATTAAGATTCTCTGAACTGTTCAGAGTCATCAAAAAACCACAAAACCAAAATTTGTAAGTTTTCCCCTAACACCCTTGGTATTAATGCAAAGTTCCACAACGTTTCCAAAACTCATAAGAAATTCTTTTTCATCAATATCATGAGGCAAATTACCAATGAAAAGCTGATGACTATCTAGATAATGGATTATTCTCCAATTGTCAGACTCATTCTGTTCCTTATCTCCTCTGCCTGTTCTCAGTCCTTGGGGAGGGGTGGGGCGACGACCAGGTCACTCTGGAGGAACCTGTTGTGGCTGAGATTGAATTTCTGGCTTAGCATCAACCCTTGGCTTTGGCAGTTTTTTTTTTTAAATTTATTTATCTATTATGTATACAGCATTCCTTCCATGTATACCTACAGGCCAGAAGAGGGCACCAGACCTCATTACAGATGGTTGTGAGCCACCATGTGGTTGCTGGGAATTGAACTCAGTACCTTTGGAAGAGTGGGCAATGCTCTTAACCTCTGAGCCATCTCTCCAGCCCGGCTTTGGCAATTCTTGAGGGAGAGAAGCGGGTTTGGAAGGAAGAGGAGTGGTAGAGAATATTTTACAAATGATTAGTGCTCGCTCAGTAGATATTGCTTGCTAGGCCAACATGAAGCTCTGGGGTTGGTCCCTGTCATTACATAAAATGCAAACAGTGGTACTGACCAGTCATCAGAACATTAAGGGCGGGTTGGGGAGGGGGCTAAGGACTGGAGAATCAGTCATTTAAAGCCATCCTAGACTATATGAGATCTGTTTTGAAGAAAAATTGTATATCGTATATCTGATAAGTGATTTATGTACAAAATTTATGAAGACCTACATTTCAACAGAAGGATAATCCAGTGGGTTAAGGGGGCTGTAGAGGTGGCTTAGCAGTTAAAACCCAGGGGACCTGGGTTCAGTTTCCAGGATCCACATGGCAACTCACTATCATCTATATATAGTTCTACGTGATATGACACCCTCGTCTGGCCTCAGGCACCAGGCATACATACAGATACATATATAAAAGCAAACCCTCATACACATAAAAATAAATAATGAGTGAAGGGCCTAAATAGGCACTCATAAAAGATCTATTAGTAACCCCACCGTATCCTAATCATCAGGTAAGTTAGCTACTGGTAAAGACCAGAGAATACAGTGTTAGTGGGAATGTACATTGAGACAGCAGCTGCACGAACAGTTTGGGTGGTTTCAGGGTGGAAAGGGGGTTTAAGCAGTTTACTTAGGGTATATATCTGAAAGAATTGAAAGTAGGGTATCAAAGATGTGGACATCTGCAAGCTGAGCCAGCCGTGGATAGCAGCATTCCTCCATGGTCTCTGCTTCGGTTACTTCAAGCTCCTGCCCTGGCTTCTCCTTGATCAAGTGGTTCTCAACAGCTAGGCCGAGACCATTGGAAAACACAGATATTTACATTAGGATTCATAACAGCAAAATTACAGTAATGAAGTGCCAACAAGAATAATTGTGTGGTTGGGGTCACCACGACATGAGGAACTGTACTAAAGGCTTGCAGCACTGAGAAAGTTGAGAACCACTGCACTAGGTGCTGGGCTGTTACCTGGAAGTACAAGCTGAGATAAACCCTTTCCTCCCCAAGTTGGTTTTGGTTTGTGTTTTAACACAGCAACAGAGTAAAGTAGGACAAGGAGGCACTGCTCCATGAACTCCATGTTCATCCCAGCACTCGGGAGGCAGAAGGCCATCCTGGACTACAAGAGCTAGTTACAGAGAAACCCTGTCTCAAAAAAACAAAAAGAAACCATTGTGAACACTAGCAGAGCAGTGGCCTCATCACTTCGTCATGATCAGTGCTTCATGCTCCTGCTGTCATACCTTTTCTGCTGTGTTGAATTGATTATATTTCCTCAAATCCTGAGTCAGAATAAACTTTTTTAAGTCGCTTTTGTGAGGTGTTTCATTAGAGTCAATGAGAAAAGTAACAATACAGTGACTGATCATCCCATCTTAGACCTCTTTCTTTTGTATAGCCAGAGCAGCAGCGCTGGCGCTTGATCCTATCTTTACGGCTTCATTTGATTTTCAAAGCATCTGTCCAAAGACCATAGAGCAGTGATTCTCAACCTTCCTAATGCTGTGATAGTGATGGTGTAAAGCATTATAAAGATGGAGATTGCCTTTGACTTGTCACACTTAACATAGTGGAACTAAGCACCTTTAATCCAGCACTCGGGAGGCAGAGGTAGATGGATCTCTGAGTTCAAGACCAGCTGGTTTACAGAGAGAGTTCCAAGACAGCCAAGGCTACACAGAGAAACCTCATCTCTAAAATCAAGAAGGAAGGAAGGAAGGAAGAAAAGAAGGAAGGAAGGATAAACTAGTGTATACGTATACTTATATCTTTCCTGCCTTTATACGAGGCTTATATTTTCTGGAATAAATAAATACTTTATTAGCTGGTCAGTGAAAATGAATATTGCCTGGGAGAAAAGATAACAGTTTGCATTTCCCTAAGGTTGCTCCTTTCAGCAGCCAATTCTGAGTTAATATAGCTTAAATTAACATCACAAACTTCACTTCATTTTTTTAGCCTCGTAAAACATGTTTACACAGTGTGTGTAAGTTTGTATGTGTGTGTAAGTATGCACATCTAAGATGTTCAGTCGTAGATGGAAATCAGAGGAGAACCTTACAGGAGTTTGTTTTATCCTTCTGCAATGTTTTTCCAATTGATTAAACTCTGATCAGGCTTGGCAACATGTGCCAACCCCTTGAGGCCTCTTGCTGACAGACCTTGTTATTGCCTTTTGTGATATGATTCCTGAAGAAGTTAGATTAGATAGAGGTTGCACAAGGTCTCCTTACTGAGTATTAGTTGTTTCTGCTTAGTTCTCAGTCTTCCATGGCAGTTGTGTTTATATAGCATGCATTTTAATAGTACTACTAGTGTTAGTAGACTTAGTTTAATTCTTCCCGAGTGATGAGTGGTCTTTAATAACATTGACTTTGGTACATGTGATACTACAAAGCATGTTGGGCATTTCCTTTTAACAATTTTATGCTTGTAGAATATATTTTTTTTCTATGTTTAACCCTTAGAAAATGTTTTAAACTTAATGATTTAGAACTGTGATTACCAGCTGGTAAGATTAAGTAAAATTTAAAATTCAATAGTCTGGTAATAATAACTACATTTTGGGTGCTTAGTAGCTAGTTTGTGCAATGTTTTTACATGATACAGGCAAAGAACAGTTCACCTCTGTAGAAAACTTTGTTGGTATAACTCAAGCAAGTCACTTCAGTTTTCATCTCCAAAATACATAGAGAAGTACCCTGGGAGTACATGAACCACATTATTAGGATAAAGTACTTAAGAATAGTATTTCGCGCCGGGCGGTGGTGGCGCACGCCTTTAATCCCAGCACTTGGGAGGCAGAGGCAGGCGGATCTCTGAGTTCGAGACCAGCCTGGTCTACTAGAGCTAGTGCCAGGACAGGCTCCAAAACCACAGAGAAACCCTGTCTCGGAAAAAAAAAAAAAAAAAAAAGAATAGTATTTTGCACATGAGAACTACTGGCTTGAAAAAATACAGCTGGAAAAGTACCAATTTGTAAGATACAAATTGCATCAAATTGTAATTTGTGTAATTTTTAAATAGCTTTGGAGTTTTTATTAAAAGTACTTTGTTTTCTTCTAGCGAGTTGAGGAATTTCTCAGCAAAGATATCAGTTATCTTGTTTCAAATAAAAAGGAAGCAAAGTATGCACAAACATTGGGTCGAATTTCTCCGGTACCGAGTCCAGAATCTGCTTATACTGCGGAAACCACCTCACCTCATCCCAGCCACGATGGGAGTTCCTTTAAGTCTCCAGACAGAGTAAGTGTGTTATACATGCTTTGAGACAAGCCCTCACTGTGTAACTTTCTCAGGCTGGTCTGGGCTCTCTACATAGCCCAAACTAACCTCAAAATTGTCAGCCCTCCTGCTTCTACCTCTTTGGACTTTGAATAACAGGCTTATACCACATAGATGGAGTGGTTATAAAGCTGAAGCTCCATGGTTTCCTCACTGTGCTTAACGTTGGCTGTCTTTTTCTTAATGATACAGTGTGCTCAAGTCGTACCCTGATTTCATACATACATACATACACACACACACTTTTACTTTAGAAGGTAGCTTTGTTTTTGGAATAATTTACAAAAAAAGTTAAACTCTTTTGAAGAAATTTGAAAGTAGAGAAAAACAAACTGACCAGTTCCAGCTTACTGCCTGTTTCACACAGTTTACAAGTTAGGCATAATTTTACACATCCAAGAGCTTGGTGAAAAATCAAAACAGTATTTCATGGCAAGTAGAAAATGTGTGTGTAATTACTGTATAAATGTTAGGTTTGCTTTCATGCTTTAGGTAGAATTTTAGTCTGTGGCAAAGATCATGTGACATACAAGGCCTACAAAGGTATTCTGCTTGACCCTTACATAAACAAATTTATAAATCCATGCTAAAAAATTACTGGCAATACTCTCCTGTCAAGTCATTGCCATTAAGGTGGAAGACAAAAGGAAGGAAAACTAATTGACTTAAATATTTAGAGAGTGAGAGATAAAACAATGTATCTAAAGTGTTAGATTTACATATAATTAAGTTGCTGTTTAAAACATACCTTCCTTATCTGTTGGAGCCATATGAAAAGCAGTTTAAATATAGAGCAAAAAGAGATCACTTGAAAAGGAGAAGGATGCAGGCTGATTCATAAAAATTGACCCTCTTGGGTCTCATCAGTTTCTTTTTTTTGTTCTTGATGTTTTGTTGTTGTTTTCTCCGCTGGGGGGAAAAAGAGGGAAAAAATACTTTTTAAAACGCCTGTCTTGCCAAGAAAATGATGAAGTCACCTTTGACCATAAATTTGCTGTGTTCTTAGCTGTTGAGACTATATATAAACCAAATTTATCTACTTTATTGATTTCCCCTTTCTATCCCTTTCTCTGATGAAGTATTATATATCTTTATACTTGCTTTTTCGGTTCTTCTTATAGGTGTGTCTGAGCAGAGGAAAGTTATTAGCTGAAAAAGCTGTCAAGGATCATGTGAGTATCAACTTGAAATTGACACTGTGTGGGCTGCAGCTAGAGCTTATTTGGGGCGGTGATGGTCTAGCACACATGAGCTCCTTGGCTGTTCATAAGCCAGGCATGGCAAACAGCATATGCCTGTCCTCACAGCATTAGGGAACTAACGGATGAGAGGTTCAAGAGCGTCTCAGATATTTAAGAAGTTTAAAACCAGCCAGGACAGGAGACAAGAAGGGGAAAAAAATCTGTTTGGTCTTCTTTTAGGTGTGTCTGATTTTTCTGCGACAGATTCTTATGTAGTTTAGGCTGGCCTCAAATTTGCTATAGAGCTTGACTTCCAAGTGTTGACATTATAGATATTATTTAAAATGTATCTGTGGGCAAGTTAGATGTTTCAGTGGGAAAACAGCTTACTGCCAAGATTAGGACCCAAATGGTGGCAGGAAAGAACTGACTCATAGAAATTGTCCTCTGATTTCCAAGTGTGCGCTGATATGTGTGCACACACACAAAGACGTGAACATATGGAGGATAAGTAAATGTAATAAAAAGTATTTAACTTGGGGCTGGCAGTGAAGTTGGTAAAAATGCCTGCCATGAAAGCCTGAAGACCTAAATTTGGATGCTCAGAATCCATAAAAAGTAAAAAGCCAGGCATGGCAGCAGGTGCTTTGAATCCCCAGACTTGGAGTACTTTGGGGGTGGGGGTGGAGCAAGTGAGTCCCTAAAGCTTATTGACTATCCTAGCTGAATTAGTGACTTTCAGGTTCAGCAAGTGACTGTTTAAAAGATTAAAAGTGGAGAGTGATTGGGAAAAGACACCTAGCATTAACCTTGGCCTTTGCTTGCACACAGACATGTACACCCCACATACATGCAGAATTTATAATTAAAATTGCAGATATTCTGAAGATAGTCTTTAATTTTTAATAAGAAAAGCTTAAATTAAGGTATCATCTCTTTCTAGCTGAAGCAGAAGCTGCTTTCCTGGAGAAACACTCCCATCTTGTGGCCTTCAGAAATATTACTGAAAAACCAAAGTTTGCCTTAGACTACACTGTAATTGTTAAGCCAGGCATAATGGGCATACCTTTATTCCTAGCATTTGAGGAGAAAGAGGCAGGTGGAATTCTGATTTCCAGGAAAGCCAGGCCTACAAAGTGAGACCTTGTCTCAAACAAAACATAGGCATATTTTAATTGGGATTGATTCAAGAATGCCAAAATAGAAAACAAATCCTCATTACTTCAGTAATTCTTTGGTTTTCGAGAGAGGGTTTCTCTGTAGTTTTGGAGCCTGTCCTGGAACTAGCTCTAGACCAGGTTGGTCTTGAACTCACAGATACCTGCCTGCCTCTACCTCCGGAGTGCTGTGATTAAAGGCATCCCCCAACCACCGCCCGGCACTTTTATAATTCGTGACTGACACTTACGCATAAACTCTTCAGTGGCATTAACATTGGTATGTCTTTTTTACAATAATAATTTTTTAGATAAACGGGGTTTTTTGTTCTTTTTTTTATAGGATTTTATTCCTGCTAATAGTATACTATCAAATGCCTTATCATGGGGAGTAAAGATTCTTCATATTGATGGTAAGAATATTTTTATAATATTTGTCTGTCCCTTAGTTCTTAATTTTACGTAGTAAAATTTTTGACATTGGGGTTACTTCTGATGGTAAACCCTTAATCTAAGTTTACTGCCACTTAAGATGTCATTGTAGGGGACTGGAGAGATGGCTCAGTGGTTAAGAGTATTGCCTGCTCTTCCAAGGTCCTGAGTTCAATTCCCGGCAACCACATGGTGGCTCACAACCATCTGGAATGGGGTCTGGTGCCTTCTTCTGGCCTGCAGACATACACACAGACAGAATATTGTATACATAATAAATAAATAAAAAGGTTGACCTTATTTTAAATAAAAAAAAAAGATGTCATTGTAAATTTACTAACCTTCAGTCCGTCTCTCAACAGACATTAGATACTACATTGACCAGAAGAAGAAAGAGTTGTGTGCGCTCAAGAAATCAAGTACTTCTGTGAGGGATGCGGTATGTTCTTTTCTTTGTTTTTAAAGTACTGTTAAAAGTAATAGCTTGGTTTTTTTATGTATATATCTAATAAGTCAAAAAGACTTTGTCAGAATATTTTACGGGTAAGCCTATGTAATGTTTGTCGTTTGTCTTGAAGCTTGCATTCATGAAGTGAAAATTGTTTCTGGGGTAATGACGCACAGTTTTCTCATCCTTTTTTCATTCTTTTGTTGCTACTGTTTTTTTTTTTTTTTCCTAATAAACCAGAAGCAAACTTTATTCCAGGAAAATAAAAATAAAAAATTAAAAAAATAAATTTCCACAAAAAAACTTATCAGCTAGGTGAGACCACAGCCAGAGATGGACTTGTAAGGCTGTGGCAAAGACTGGTTTCTGAACTCCTCCTTTTATAGCAAGCATTAGGCAATAACAAAAGAATTTTTGCAATCTCAAGGTAAAACTCGGATACAAATTGCCCTTTTATATATTTATATATTTATTTATTTATTAAAGATTTCTG